TTTTATGTATTTATTATAGTTCTATATATATTTGGGTTGCAGGGGGGGGTTTCTTCCCACCTCCCCCTGCCGTGCATGGGACGGGACAGTGAGCAAGGCAAAACCACTGAGCAGCACCTTGCCCTTTGCTGTGCACGTCATGGAGCTATTTTGGGGGCGCATTCCTCACTCCATCACCCTTCCCGGCCCTTGCCAATCCACAGATTTGGCTGCTGCGGGTGGAGGGAAACCCTAGTTCTTCAGGGAAGGGGTCGGTGCGAGTCCTGGGACGCTCGGGATCAGCCCCGGGGAGGAGCGGGAGGTTAATTCCCCTTTGCTGGAGACTCAGCCCTTGGAGGAGACGACGGCTCCTGCCCGAGCCTGTAACCTGGAGCACCTGTGGGCTTTGGGAAGGAGCCGGCTGCGGGCAGAGCGTGTGATCCGATTAGGGCAGCCAGGGCTGAAAATAGAGACGCTGCTCCGTGAGGGGAGACTCGCAGGGTGATCCAGACAACCCCGGCAGGGAGGTGAGAGGCAGGGATACTTGAACCCTGGAAAATCATGGCTTGGACGCTCCTGGCTGTGCCCAGCTCCAGCCTGGCCTTCCTGGAAGGAGAAGGGCCTTGAGAAACCACCTCTCTAAGCCCACACGTAGCAGCATTAATTACCCAATTTCCCTTACATGATTCGTTTGAAAAAGGACTCAAATGCCTGGAGAAAACTGTTCTGAACACCCAAACACTTGGAAAAGGGGGCTGAGGAGGCTGAACAAGCCACTTCCTGCTGTTTTTCCACACAAAAGCACTCCCCCCATGGTCAAAATCACCCAGGACAGGAGCAGGGGCAGAGTCCCAGCGTGGGACTCCGGGGCTGGGAATCAGGAGTAAGCAGGGCAGGAATTAGGCCCATTAACTTGCAGGGCAAAACAACCCGATTGCCGAGGTTTAAAAAGATCAGTGACTTAAAGAGCTTTAGTGAGGAAGAGAGAAGTGGACCAAGAGGAGCTTGGCACAGTAAGGTGAGTGCAGGGCAGCCAGCTGCCACAGGAATGGGCTTCCGAGACCTGGAAGCTCACCAGAGCCAGGGAAATACCCCTGGGGGTGCTGGGGCAGGGGGGTCATGGGGTGGTGGGGACAAGGGGTGTCCACCTCCAGGCCCCAGGCAGCACCCCCCATCTCCAGCTCTCCTCAGCCCAGGGATGGGGTGGCTGCAAATCCCACACTGACCCACTGGCCCTTGGGTCTGGGGGGGGAAAGGTGGAGGCTGCCAGTGAGAGGGTCTGGGCAGGAATGGGGGGACAGAACAGAAAACAAGGGATTTATGGGCACTTCTCAGCACATCTGAACTGGGATGAAGCACAAGGTTACCCGTCCCGGGGCTGAGGGAGTGGGGGAAGATGACTTGCAGCCCCCCGTAAAAGCTCTGGGGGAGCCCAGGCTGGGCTCAGATTCTGGAAGGGGTAAATCAGGGCCAGGGGGGCAATTCCCACTCCCTGCGACTAATTGGGGCTGTAACCACCTCTTAAAGAAGAAAACACCGGAGCAGAGAGAGGACATGGAATGGACACTGGGGGTCCCAGCAGGAAAGAGTTAAGGGCGAGGGCGGTAGAGCAGGGGGGGAATGTTCTTTAAGTGCTCACACAGAGATTTGTGCAGGGACATGCTGGGCTGTGGGGAGGGGGAGCTGGGAGGGTGGAGAGAGGAGAAACTTAGGGGAGCACGGGGGGGAGCTCGGGGGATGGAGACGGAAACTTGGGGGATGGAAAGGGGAGAGCTTGGGGGATGCTGTGGGGGGACTCTGTGAGGGTGAGGCTTGTCCCCCAGCCTTGGCTGGGGACCCCTGCGCGGGGGGACACCTCTCCGGTGCCGGGGCTGGAGGGGGGAGCCGGACCCGCCCGCCCGGTCCCCGCCGGCCCGGGGCTGCTCCGCCTCGGCGGCTGCGGCAGCGGCTCCCGCAGTGCCCTCTGGTGACCGAACCGGGTGGCTCCAGGCGGCCTCGGTGGCTTCCCGGTCCCTGGGACCTTCGGGAGGGTAGCCCTATGCCCTCCTCCCCCTCCCTCTGGGACTGTTCCTTTCCCACCCTCTCCATCGCCCTCGCCTCGTCCCTTCACCTCCCTTCATCACTTTGCACCCACCCTGTCCCCTCTCCATCACTCTTGTACCATCCCTGTCCTCCTTCTATCACCCTCCCACTGGCCCTGTTCCCTCTCCATCAGCCTCCCACTGTCCCTGTCCTCCCCTCCATCACTGTCACCTGGGCTCTCTACCCCTCCATCACTCTTGTACCATCCCCTCTCCTGCTCCCATCACCCTCCCACTATCCTTGTCCCCCTCTCCATCACTCTCACTGTCCCTGTCTCCCTCCACCACCTTCCCACAGCCCCTGCCTTCCCCCCCTCGCTCTCACACCAGCCCCTGAGGGGCATTTCAGCTCTGGGCACCCCTGCCCGTGGGTGCCTGTGGCCCTGCCAACCCCCCTCACACCCACACACTTCACCAGGACTGGCCCGAGGGAATTAGCAGCGGGAAAGGAGAGAAGCCAGGCTTAGGTATTAACAGGCCACATTAATTTTATTTTTCCCAGAAAGTCTGTAACAAAATAATCTCATAAACCCAACAAGTGTCGGTGCTGTTTATGTAACAGCCTGGCTGGCAGGAGGGCAGGGAGGCAGCGGGGTTATGTAAAGCCCTGTGCTCCCGAGGCAGGGGGTGATTCCAAAGGCACCGGGGGGGGGGTCTGGCTCCTGCTCTGGCCTTGTCCTGGAGGTGCTGTGGGTTTTCCCCCTCCTAATCTGTGCCCCAAATGGGCCCAGGACCCTCCAGCTGGAGTTTGCTGTTGTCCCCATCAGTGGCAGTGGCAGCTGGAGCTTCCTGGGACTTGTGGAGGTGCAGGAGGTGATGTTGCTCCCATGAGCAGCCACTGTGAAATGGGACTCTGAGACTTGCTTTCATTCCCTTCTAATTATTTTTCCTGCAGCAGGGATCACTTCTCACTCCAGTATCAGCCTGGGGAGCTGCTGTTATTCCTCCACTCCAAAAACCAGGACACAAGTGCCCGTCCCAACCTCCCCAGTGCAGTTTAACTGCTGAATGAGGAGATGTCCCCCTGTCCCAGCAGACAGAGGGGACCCCACTGCCTTTCCCCATCCTTTGAAATCCTGGGCATGGTGTTCCCTGGGCACCTGGAGCAGACAGGCATCCTTATTTCATCTATTTGCAGGGTGATGAGGAGGCCTGGGGTCTCCTTCTTGCCCTTCCACACTCCTCCTGTCCTTGCTGACCACATCCCTGAGGAAAATGGGAGTAAGTGTGAATTGTGATGGATGTCATGTTCCAGCTGAAGATACTCCAGGAATACAAAGTGGGATGAGACCATAACCTTACTGAGACCAAAGGGTGTGAATGAACCATTGCATCGAAGGATTTTGAATTATTTTGGTCTGACTGGTTTAATGGAGTTGATTTATCACAATTTTAAGGTCTTTCCCTGCATTTCCTCTGAGTCGGTTCTGCTCTAATCAGGTCAAAAGCTGATTTGCAAATAGTCACCAGAGAAAGGGGGAAAAAAATCGAGGGATTTAAGCCCAAGCTGTGCATTTCATACCATTAATTGAAAGTCTGGGAGAGATAATGTGTCCCTTCTCCTGGCTGAGACCCATAAGCTGCTATTAACAGCAAATTCCCCACCCGGCTCCAGGAATCACCTCCTGGCTGGGATTACAGCTGAGGAGAAAACCTCCCCCAGGGGCTGATTTAGTGAAAGGGCAGAAATTAGGGAGCACCAAGGGGTATCAGAGCACTCAGAGCTCCACTTAGGGCAGCACAAACCCGAGAAGAATTGTTTGAAAACTGGGATTAATGGGAATAAGGCATAGGTCTCCCAGTGCAGGACAATAAAGGCAGGGTGGTATCTTAAATATTTCTCTGCCACCTCTTTTCTGCACATATTTATGTGAAAGTTGTGCCTTTTTTGTCACCTTATATGAGCTTTTCGGAACAGACTATGTCTGTATTTTTGTATATATGTATATAAACATATACTTACATATGGTGGTGCCAGAGACCCCGGCCACCCACAGTGGCATTCTGCTGCAGGAATTCTGAGCACATTTTCCATGTCCCCACACCCCCGGAGGAGGGAAGAGGTCGATAATCAGAGAAATCCACCCTGGTATTAATTACACGCCATTACCGGGGCTTATTTGCTAATCCCCATTCTAATCACCCTCTCGGTTATATTTCAACCAGCACCTCAGGACACTGCATGTAATGAATAAAATATATATCAAAGTTTATTCCAGAGCACGGTGAGGGCAGCAGCAGCAGCCAGGATTACACAACAGACCTGCTGTCACACCAAGGTAGTCGCGGCACATTCATACGTCAGTGAAATCCCACCCCCCGCCCCAGCCCAAAGCCAAGTGGGGTTTATTTTTCTAAGTAAAATAAATAAATAACGTTTTTTCCGGTGGGATTCATGCAGCCTCTGGGGGAAAGCCACTGCAGAAGCTTGGCACAGCGAAGCGAGAGCTGGTGGCTCAGGTGAGGGGCTCTGTTATCCCGGGGACGGCGAGCGCTGTGTCCGGCGGAGGAGCCGGATCACGAGGGGGGCTTTGCCAGCTGAGCCACTGCAATTCCCGGCAGGGAAAGGGTGATCCCATCACGTCCGAGTCCTCCATCCAAAGGGGTGATCCCGTCAGGTCCGAGCCCTCCGCCCTGAGGCCGGCTCAGGGCTGGTGGGGCAGCGATGGGGACAGTGATGGGGACAGCAGCACCAGGGCCCTGCACAAGTCTTCTGCCCGGGGAGGGATCCTTCATCCCGAGCCCTCCTCCGCCTCCTCGTGCCTTCTCGCCAGCCCGCAGCGACAGGCTCTGCTGCCAGGTGACATTGGATGTCCCCAAGGACGTTTGCTGGAAGCACTGGGAGGTTTCAAGTGTCACTCGCTTGGTCAGTCATCAAAGCAGTCCCAAAATTCCAGCTCGGCGGGAGGTGAACGGTGCCGGTGCCATCACGAGTTCCAGTCCTCATGAATTCCAGTCCTCTCCCGCTCTCTGCCCCTACCGGGGCCGAAATCACTGGCCAGGGCTGGTGGAAGTGGGGTGGCCCTGAGTCCGCTCGATTCCCCACTGAGGCTTGCACAGAGGCCCATGATCAGTCCCAGTCCCATCAGTGTCCTGCTGGCCCAAGGGCTCTGGGACCCCTCCTGAGGGGCTGTGGGGCTCGGACAGGGAAGGGGCCCTGCCCCAGAGTGGCTGCCCTGAACCTGCTGCCTTAGAGAGGGAGGTGACTCCAGACTGAGATGGAGGTGCTGGCAGCAGATTCCCCGATAAACATCCCCAAACCTGGCAAGATCCTCCAGGGATCCCAGACCCTGGAGGGTCTCCCAACCCCATGGGGGTCCCCAGACCCTGCTGGGCCCCTCAACCTCACTGCCCCCCCAATCTGCCAGTTCACTGCACACCCTGGACCCCAACCCTGCAGGATCCTTCAAGCACTCCAAACACCCACGGACCACCTCCACCCCCTCCCTGCCAAAAAATTCCTCAGAGCACCCTAAGGTCCCCAGACCCTGCTGAGGAGTGCTCCAATACCAGAGGGTCCCCTACAGAACCCCAAACAACTCAGATCCCACAGGGTCTTCCCCCATCAGACCCCTCAGGCCACTGCTGGGGTCCCCAGATCCTGCTGGGTACCCCCACCCCATAGAGTCCCCCAGACCCTGCAGGATCTCTCTGGGACCCCCAGGGATGCTTAAGCCTTCCCAATCCATTGAACCCCTCAGGCCACTCCCAAGGTCCCCAGACCCCGCTGGGTCCCCCAGACCTCCCCCACCTTGCAGGATCCCTCTGGGACCCCCGAATCCATTGGGTCCCAGCCCATTGGATTCCCCAGACCCTGCTGGGTCCCCTCACCCCATAGTGTCCCCCTGACCCCTCCCACCCTGCAGAATCCAATCAGGACCTGCAAACGCACTGCTTCCCAACCCACCAGACTGCCCTAAACCCTCTAAAGGACCCAAGACCCCGCTGGGTCACCCTCACACCATGTGGTCCCCCAGATCCTGCAGGGTTCCCCAGACCCATCAAAGTGGCCCCCACTTTCAGAACCCCCATGTACCACTGATCAGTCCCCCCTGGACCCCAGACCCCTCCAGCTCCCCAACCCCTCCCAGACCCCAAAGCTCCCCAGTCAGACTTCTCAGGACGAAGGACTGGATCCCCCTATGCTGCGGGGCCCCCCAGATCCTGCAGAGTCCCCCAGACCCATCAAATTGTCCCCCACTTTCAGAACCCCCAAAGCCCCCGGATCCTCACTGATCAGACTCCTCGAAGGACTGGATCCCCCCAGATCCCGCAGGGTCCTCAGACCCATCACGGCACCCCCCACTTCCAGAACCCACCCGATCAAACCCCCTCAAGGACCCCAAACCCTTGCAGCTCCCCAAACCCCCCCCGGATCCTCACTGATCAGACTCCCCAGGGCTCCTCGAAGCACTGGGTCCTCCCAGATCCTGCAGGGTCCCCAGACCCACCAAAGAACTTTCAGAACCCCCCCGATCAAACCCCCTTAAGCACCCCAGCCCCCTTCACACCTTCACCACCCCACCCCCCTTCCCTACGCGGAGCCGCGGGGCGCCGCCGGCAGCCGGCGCACGGGGGTCCCCGCGGCCGCCCCCCGCGCCCGGGACGGTGCCCAGGGCACGCAGCTGCGGAGGGC